CCCCCCCTCTCCCTCTCCCTCTCCCTCTCAAACAAATTATTTATTTCCTATAAAAAAACATGACAAAGTAGGAAATTCCTCTTGTATGTACAAGCCTACAGGGCATGGAATCCTTCCTCCTACACATTCCATTGCTTATATTTATTAGATTTTCCTCTCCTGTTTTGTATCACAAGGAATTGAAATAAAAAAGGATCACCAAAATGAATACTATCAAGGTCTCCTTATCAAATCGGTAACAAATATGTTTACATCACAAAAACTCAAATTCTACTCATTAATAAAATAAAGGCCCTAAAACTTCAAAGCAAAAATGATAAAAAGTAAAACTTAAAGCTTCAATAATTTAGAACAATGTTGAAAAATAATAAAGAAAAGCATTACAATGTAAATAATGACATTCCTTGCATGGTGCTGCCTATGAAATACAAACATACATTAGTTCAGCTAAGATGCTTGAAGTAGCATTTGTAACAGAAACAGAATGAATCGGATTATCTACAGCTATGGTAAAATAATGAAAAAAAGGTGGATAAAGCACTACATCAAGTTATATCGAATATAAAATGACAATTGGTGCTATTAAGAATCACTGATTGATTTACTTACATCATGGATGGAACTGATTGATTTAGATTGATTGGCATCTGAATCCAAAGTACCATCTATAAGAAAGTAAAGAATGTTAAAACATTAAAAGCTCTGTTAAGACAACAATTAGGAATAATTACCTGCTATACCCACAGAAGGTTCAATAAATTCTGATGCTAAAGCTAAATCCGCCCAACCAAGGTTATTAATGTCATGTAGGCTTAGTTCTTTAATTTGAAGCCCGGTTTCTTTCTTTGAAAGAAAAATACCAGTACCTGCTGAATAGAGATAAAACCGATGATTTTATTAAGAAAACAAATTACTAAATATCCAGCATCCTAATCCAATCATTATAGCGTTTATGAACTTAGAAAAATGAAACCGTACATTAAAGCAATATATAATTAGCTTTAAACGGAGCCCTTGTTGCTGAATCGTAATTTCTTCTGAATCTCTCTAGCATATGAACCATTAAAATTAATTTGCAGATAACTCAACGGTAATCTTCTGAACATTGCCATAGATTTTGTTTATTCACCTTTCTAAACCCTTGCTTTGTTTCGCAATGCATAAACCCAACGAAACATGATAAGAAGTATCCTAGGTCATATTGTGAAATAATTAGTTTTGTGAAATTAGAAAAAAAAATTTTGACAACTTTAAAAAATACCCCAAATTTTGCATCCCTCGGATTTCAACAGAATCAATTTTATAAAATTCTACGAGTCAGAACGATCACTTCAATATATCATACTATGTATAAATTATGAATTGATTATAAGATAAAAAAAATGGGAAGTAATAAATTTAATTACATTTAATTGAATCACCCTCCCTAACCATGGTTTATTGTTCCCACAAACTTACCCACGCGATACTTAGTTCTGTGTTGCGTCGAATGGGGGGGAATCCACTCCATAGCCATCGATTTCATCTCCCTACTCTCGGTTGCATCACATGAAGTCCCTTTCGCTTCTGATTTCCTCTCTCCGCAGAGCTCCAGCACTCAATCATTGCAGCCAGGCACGAACAAAGGCAGGCGAGTGATCCGCCGAGTACTACAGCTCACAGTTTAGACTTCAGGGACAAAATCATTACTATGAAACCCTCATTCATTCTATTTCAGATATTTCTTTCCTTTCTCACACATCCATTTTGAGATTTGTCACGAACCGTGCATCTTTTCTATTTCTAGTCGCCTTAACGACGGCGAGTTTGCGTCGAAAGCGACGAAATAGGTATATGTTGTAAGGGTCTTAAACGAGAAATCAACGAAGATAGAAAAGAACTTAAACAACAACAACAACAACAAAGCCTTAATCCCACTATGTGGGTTCGGTTACATGAATCCTTATTCTCCATTGTGTCCTATTTAGTGTCATATTTTCATTTAATACTAGTAGATTAAAATATTTTTTTATACAATAAGCCCAAGTCATCCTAGTTCTACCTCTGCCTTTCTTAACATAAGTCGAATTTAAAGCATCTACTCTCCTAAACGAATCATTAGACGGTCGACATTTAATGTGACAAAACCATCTAAGACGACTTTCTCTAATTTTGTCTGTCATAGGATCTACACCAACCCTATCACGGATGTATTCATTTCCCATTTTGTCCCTAAGTGTAAAGCCACTCATCCACCTAATCATTTTCATTTCGGCAGCACTTAACTTAGTATTATGCTTTTCCTTTAAAGGCCAACACTCAGCATCATAGAGCAATGCAAATCTCACCACCATTTTATGAATTTTTCCTTTTTAGTCTAAGCAGTACTTTCTATCACACAAAAGGCCCGAAGCATTCCTCCACTCCAACCAACCAACTTGAATTCAACTATTAAAACTATTAACATCCCTTAACATCCCCATGTATATCACCATCGCTTTGAACAACAAATTCAAGATATCTAAATCATTCACACCTTTTAAGAATTTGATCGCCCAAAATTTACACTTTTTTCACTAGAGCAACTACTAAAATTACATTCCATGTACCCAGTTTTAGTTCTACTCAAATGAAGGCCTTTAGACTCCAATGTAGACCGCCTTTAGACTGAAGGCCTTTAGACTCCAATGTAGACCTCCATAATTCAAGTTTTTCTTGGGCTTTTTCTCCTTCTTATCCACGAAAAGGATATCATCACCAAAAGCATACACCAAGGCACATCCTCCTGTAAATATCCAGTAGGACCATCAATAAATTAAGCAAAAAGAGGACTTAAAGTCGATCCCTGATGTAAATTAATAGAAATAGGAAAATGTTTGTTCATTCCCCCTTCAGTTCAAGCACAAGTCACAGCTCTAATATACATATCTTTAATGACTAGAATATAAGTCATATCAACACCTTTCTTCTCAAGAACTCTCCAAATGATATCTCTTGGAACCTTATCGTAAGCTTTTTCTAAATCAATAAAAATCAAATATAGATCCTCCTTATTACCTCTGAATTTCCCCATCAAACCTCTCAATAAATGTATAGCTTCCATAGTAGAGGCAACGGCAAGCGAGAGACTGAGCAGAGAAGGCAAGGGGCTACGGAGGGTCGCGGCGGCTGCAACGGGAGGGAGGCTGCGAAGGGTAGCGGCGGCTGCGGCGGGCAGAAGGTGGCAGAGGACAGCGGCAGTGATGGGAGGGACAATGGTGGGCGACTGCAACAGAGGGCATCGAGGGTGAGAGGCGCTGTCGACGACAAGCAGCTGTGGCGAGCATCAACGGCGAGAATCAGTGGTGGGTGGCTGCGACGGGAGACGGTATCGACAGCTAGCAACGAGAGGCTATAGGCAGGCGATGGCTGCGAGCGGCTAAGGGGGTGCGGCAACGGCTGTGGCTGGCAGGTAGTGCAGTCGGCGCGAGCGGAGGGCGGTAGCAGCGGCGGCGTAGGGGTTGGAGGTTGAGTATCGGGCTAACCGTGGAGGAGGGCGAACGCGTGCTCTTCTGGCTCTATCAGCTAGGACTTTAGCTGTAAGTGGTTGAACTGAGTTGTGAACTCCTCAACTAATAGATCTTGTTGTTGCAAGTTGTGGACTTCTAGGAACATATCCTGGTGATATTAAGGTGAGAGGTATTTCTTTTGCATTGCCTTTTTCATCTTCTCTCACTAAATTATCTTCTCACTTTTTTCTCTACATTGCCTCTGTATAATTTTCCCAGCATAAGAAGGCATTCTTCTTAAGTTTAATTGCAGCTTGTTTGACTCATTTGTCCTTTGGTGCATCTCCATAGTCGAAGATTTGTTTGACTGATTGCAGCCTATCGATAAACTCATCGGGTTCCATGTCTCCCTCAAATTTTGGCAGGTCTATCTTGATACCAAAGTCCTGCTAACCTCCATAAGGGGTTTCTTCTCTTGACCTCCTTTGATATTGGATGTCAAAATGACACAACCGGCATTCTTCGTCACTCTGATCTTTCTTATGAAGCAAATTAATCTCTTCCTCCGTGTCTTTCTTTCGACTCTCCTGATCACGATTGAAAGTAACCTCTTTATGGTTCTCGTCGTCCAGCTCTGCTAGTCTCCGTTGTAGATGACAAATTTCGTGTTGAATCTCTTTCCGGGCAGAGTCCGATATATCTTTTCGTGGTGGCATGTCTAGGGTTGGGAATCGAAACAAAAAAATTTGATGGAGGTGAATTGGGTAGGGGTGGATGCTACGAAATCATAAGATAGGATTAGGGTTGATCTAGCTCTGATACCAAATGATACCGAAACTAGTAAGAAAAATAGTAGAAACACAAAAAATTAAATTTTATTAATATAGAAATAAGATTACAACACAACTCAAACAGAAAGGAAATAAACTAATAGACGAATGTTCAGTTAGGGGTGTAGAAAGAGATCCGAAGGCGTCGGCGGCATCGGCAGGGTGGTAGGAAAAGGTAGAGAATGTTGGGTGGTGGCTTGGTAAGTTGAGATGGTGTTTGATTAATTGTAGGTAGGCAAAATAACAATGTTGTGGGGGAAGTAGAGGTGGCAGCATTGAGATGGAGGGATTTGGGGTGGTAGGTGGCTATGGGGAGTGGTAGCAGAGAGTTCGAGGAGCGAAGAAGATTGGAAGTATACTACACCACCTCAGAGCAAGATACAACCGAAGAACCACATGTCCTCGAATACAACCCTAAAAAGAGGGAGGAGACTCAGCACAAGAGTCTAAAGACAACACCACTAGAACTGACTCCTACACACAGGGGACAATAATTTATAGCATCCTACTACTACACAAAAGAAAGGGGTGAGATGGTAAGAAGAATCCAAAAAAAAAAAAAACTCTTCCCAGAAGAAGACGAGTGTGGCAGAAACGAGAAGCATCCCCCTGGATTGTGAGAGTTTGCAATCCACCCTCCTTCGCGCGAGATCGCGATCCCGTCCTACCTTACTGTTCCTGCGAAGCTTCGCAGGTCTTCAGTTTCGTGGGATCAAAACGCCCCGCTAAAGGGCGCTAATTCAGCGCCAGCATCACTTTTTGCTTGGTTTATGTTAATTGAAGATTTTTTTATCCATGTTTTCATTATTGGAGTGATTTATCCTTTGATTTGTCTTGGTTCGTGTGTTTATAACCTATTTGGAATGAGATAATGATCTCTCCCGAACGTCCTAAGGCTTTCTCCCTCTTCAAACCTGCGGTCATCAGCTATTTGATAGTAGAAACCAGTTGTTCCTCTGCAACCAGCCTGCTGTCTACCAGTTGGTTGCATCAGATTCCATCACTCCTCTCTCCTCCATTACCTATCTTACTATTATTATAATTCATCCCTTAAACTTTCCATGCCATCTAGTAACCCTAAATCGTTATCAAGGATTTTTATAAAGAAGAATTTAAATAGTTAAAAAAAGAGAAGAATTATGAGGAAGACTTAAAGCCAAAAAGAAAAAAAACAAAGAGGCAGACATCATCAAGGAGACAAGGTAAATTTTGGTAAGCTAGTTTTACTAATTTCAAATATTATAACTCCTAAAGCAAAACTCCCTCAATTAATCACTATTTAATCACTCAAATAATAAAACCCTAATTACCATAAGAAGAAGTTAATTTTGACTTTCTAGTTATTTTTATTAATCTACATGCTTTTCTGCAAAAAGTTTTCCGCACAGATCATCCATGTAATATCCTAAAAATCAAGGTCATGTCTACAGCCTTAATATTAGAATGGCCAAACCACCTTACCTTCCTGAACGGACAGTTGTTACAAGCCTCATTCCCTCACTTCAGGATCAAAACGCGACATAGATGAAATTGTTAACGAACGAAACACCATAAATGTATATTAGATAAAGCTAACATGAGTAAGCAAAAAGAACAAACTATGAACCATATGTAAATACTTGACATTTATTTACTTTTCACACCTGTAAAGATGGCCGGATCCTCTCCTGAATTAATTTCTTCTGATATGGCAGCAGATCCAGACGAATCTGATTGCACTGATCCGCATATTGAGTTCACTGGGGTCAATGGAGAACTACCATGCATCTTTCTTGCTAGAACTGAAGGTTCTTTGTATTCAACAGGTGCAGGTACATTCTGGGCAAAATTATCATGCTGAAAAGTACAAGGATAATCAAAATAAAATGAGAGATCATATTAAAGAGAAAATCATAAACCCAAACATGAAAAGTAGACTCCACTAGAAATAACAAATCATGGCGATAGTACACAGGAGAAAATAAAACAAAGTTTCCTCACTCTTAGCTTAACAGCATTATTATAAAAGTAAACACATAAAAGTAAAGTCCCCATGTTTCAAGATTTCTCTAACAAAGAAACAAGCATATCGGATAGCTCAGACTTTCAGTATGAAATAACTTGGGAATGGATGATACAAAAAAAAGTAAGAGTAGATGATGGGGACCGAGATGCTCATCACACAGACATTGAACTGTCATATTGCCATGATATCTGTTAAACAGTAGAATTATAGGGTAACTTCAGCAGTATCAATGTAAACTTGGCTAAAATTAACATAACATTTAAGCCTACCTTAACCAAGAAGCTTTTACAAAGCCAATCAAGTTCTATAAATAACATAAATCAAAATTTGGTATCCATGTGAATTCATTAAGAATGCATCCTTTTCTTAATAAATTTATTCATATGGTAATGTGTGAGTCTAATAAATTAAGATCATTTTTTATACAATAAGCCCAAGTCTTTCTAGGTTTACCTCTGCCTTAACATAAGTCGAATCTAAAACATCCACTCTCCTAATCGGATCATCAGATGATAGATGTTTAAAGTGACCAAATCATCTAAGTCGACTTTCTCTAATTTTATCCGTCACGGGAGCTACACCAACCTTATCAAGGATATATTCATATCACTTTTGTCAAGTGTAAAGGACTCATCCACCTAATCATTCTCATCTCGGCAACACTTAGCTTAGTATTATGCTTCTATTATGCTTCTCTTTTGTATTATGCTTCTCTTTTAAAGACCAACATTCAGCGTCATAGAACAATGCAGGTCTCACCACATTCTTATAAAGTTTTCCTTTCAGTCTAAGCAGTGCTTTTCTATCACACAAAACCTGAAACATTCCTCCACTTCAACCAACCAACTTGAATTCAACTATTAACATCCCAATCTATATCACCACCGCTTTGCACAACAGATCCAAGATATCTAAATAATTCACACCTTTTAATAATTTGATCACCCAAAGTTACACTTTTGTCACTAGAGCTACTACTACTAAAATTACATTCCATGTACTCAGTTTTAGTTCTACTCAAATGAAGACCTTTAGACTCCAATGTAGACCTCCATAATTCAAGTTTTTCCTGAGCTTTTTCTCTCGTCTTACCCACGAGAAGGATATCATCAGCAAAAAGAATACACCAAGGTACATCCTCCTGTAAATGTCCAGTACGACCATCCATAACTAAAACAAAAAAGATATAGGCTAAAGGTCGAACCCTGATGTAATCCAATAGAAATAGGAAAATATTTGGTCAATCCTCCTTCAGTTCGAACACTATACATATCTTTAATGATTTGAATATAAGTCATATCAACGTTTCTCGAACTCTCCAAAGGATATCTCTTGGAACCATATCGCAAGCTTTTTCTAAATCAATAAAAATCAAATGTAGATTCTCCTTATTATCTCTGAACTTCCCCATCAAACTTCACAATAAATGTATAGTTTCCATCGTAAACCTGCCGGCATAAATCCAAATTGATTATGAGAACTCAAACCTCTCCAAATGACACTAAATAGGACGCAATGGAGATAAAGGATTCATGTTGCCGACCCAACGTAGTGGAATTAAGGCTTTGTTGTTGGTAATGCGTGAATCTGCATCTATGCATCGTGCTGATTTATTCATACAAGAAACCATCATTAGTGTTGCCCCTATCCAAGAAATTAAATAGTAGGTTTGTCTTCATTCCTAAAAAAGCAATGTTTATTATAACTTCAAGCTACATAAATCCCAACTCACTAATTATGCTCTTGAAAATTTTTCTTGTTAACGATAATTTGCATAATTGAATAATTTTGATTGGTAAAATACCTGGGTAAAATTAGATTTTTAAAAGGATTGTATTGTCTGATCATCATTGAATTATATCCATCCCTACCTTCTCTCCTCTCTCTTTGAATTTTATCATTTTTATTTTCGGAAGGTCTTTGCTCTCTCCTCTCTTAATAGTGCTATGTAGTTGAAAGAACTTTAGACATTTGACATTGCAGCTTGCTTGGTTTTTGCCTTTAACTTATTATTTGTACCCACCAGAATATACTTAATTTTCTCCCATGTTGATGATGTATTCTTTCTAGGTAATTCATAGAGATAGATTGTCCATGGATTGAGATGGCTAAGTCAGAATCTTGCCTCTAGAATTTTCCATATATTTTTGTACTAATAATTCTTCATTCTATTTTAATAGTGGCCACTGAAATCATTTATTTCCTTCATGTACAACGGAATAAAACTGAAATTTATATAATTTTTTTAGGGGCATTTACATACATAGTACAAAAGACTTGTGTACATATCTGACAACTAACATTCATATTTACCTGCATACCACTCAAATTGTTAACATCACATCATAAAAACCAACTTCACTACATTTGAAAAGTGAAATAAACCTTTTCAAGCATAGGTTTACGATACCAAGGTGTTAGAAGTGTAAATATCTAACTTTGGATGTTAGATATGTAAATACATAAGAATTGTGTGCTATGTATGTAAATTTCTCAATCTTATAATTTGCAACCATAGTTCTTGGACTAAAATAGTTCCAACAAATCAATGTATATGAAGATAACTTGAGACATTTAAATGTAATCGCTTGTGTATGACTAAGCTAGACAAATGAGAAATGCCTCCATGATCGTCAATCAGTTTCTTGCCATCTCAATATTTGTAGTGTCATTGTAGGAAGGTCGCTTTGACTTGAAATCCAACTGCAATAGAATTGATTTCCTAGATTAATCATTATCTTTATTCTTAAATGGTTTTGGTTGCTTAGAATGACCATTAAGGACTTACCATGATGATTGGTAGGAACACATTTATTTCTAAAAGCCTATGAAGCCTTTTGGATAACTAATGAGTCAATGAGAGTAGCATAGATCTCTCTAATCACTATACTCTCAAGCTTACTCATAAGTAGCTACATGTGTTGTTGACTTTTTAATTTCAACAGGTGTATGAGTTGTAGTTTTTCTTTTATCTAATGGTGGATAAGACACGCCTTTCTTATAGGGTGGTAATTACACCAGTTCAAATTTATGATAATTTAGCCTTGGAGACCAAAATTTCAATCTTCTTAATGAATTAGGCTTCTATGGGGCGTCGAGTTCTTGAACATATTAGACAATTAGTTTGCAATTAATTGAAAATGAAACTCATTCTTCTCAAGGCACATAATTGGTCTATCATGAGGAGAATATTGTCTAGGTAAGGTTTTGGTAACACTTAGGCCCCGTTTGGGACAGCCTAAAACAGTGGGCGGCGTTTTTGAAAACGCCGCCTACTGTTTGAATAACACGTTTACATTGCGTGCTGGAAATCGCAAATTTTATTTTACGAATAACGCTGCCCGCAGGATCATACCGGCGGTCGGCGTTTCCTTCTCGCGTTTTCTCCTGAATTACTCCGCTACCCTCGCGATCGAGCTCCTGCCCTTGCGCTTCTCGGATTCGGCATTTCTTCCTCCTTCGTTCACGATCGAGCTCGCAGACCCGCTCCCTGCTTCGTTCGCGATCTAAGCTGCGGCTCGCCTCTCGATCAGATTCCCTTTCAGTTTTGTTTCCGTTCGGATCAGTTCTCTCCAGCGAAGGAAATAACTGTAGCCCTTTCCTTCCTCCTCTCCGATTCGCTATTCCAGTGCTCCCAAGGACTGCCGAGTCTCTGGCTGGTTCGAGGGACCCGAAAACGATTCCTCTGCTGTCGCCGAGAAGATTTTGATACTAACAGAGTTCTCCTATGATCTCAATAAGAGCAATGCACAGACCTTTCCCATCTCTACTGCTGATTCAAGCATCATCAGTCCCCCCCCCCAAACCAGGCCAGCCGGAGCCACACCTGCATTTATCGACTCCGGGTGCACGGCTTCGAGCCCAGTTTTCCCTAGCTACTACGACGGAGCAACCTTGAGCGAGAGAAAGCCAGTAAGAGAGTGGTACTGTGCACTTTCTTTATTTTGTTTTTTTATATAGTTTGATCAGATATGTTTAGGTTTCTGGTTGTAGAATCCCCAATTATCTTATTAATACATTTCTTTAGTTAAAGGTTTGGGGGGTGACATATTGGAATTGGCGTTTGTCTGTTTTAGCTTACACATTTTTTCCCCTGCTATTTTTTGCTAGCTTTTTTGACCATAACATCAGGCTTAATGAATGTCATTCAGGTTTAAGTATTTGTTGTAGATGTAATTGATTTTCTCATGTTGTAAATGTTTATAATTCAGAATCATGAAAAATAATTTGGATAATTACATATAGGCCACCCAAAACATTGATATTTACGGATTAATCACCCAAGTGATTTTTTTGAACTGTATGACGGATGTATCTATACGTGTCACGATCAAATCATTGAGAGTTTGATAAAAATGAAAAATACGGGTTGGAGTTTTACCACGAGTTTTGTATATGTCGTTGTGCTTATTTGATGTAATCAGAATTTTTTTGAGCTATATAAATATTATTAAACTTTTTTTGTATTTTCATTCCTTGACATTTGAGAAAATAACATTCTGCTACACAAATTATTCATTGAACTAAAAAAAATTTCAAATAACCTGTTTACAAGACGCACAAACCAAACAGTTAAACAATTTATTCAGAACATGGGCAAATTGGTCAATTTTTCATAATCAGTTGTTTTACAGACGCACTAACCAAACAACCAGACAGCTTATCCGAATCAGCTGGTGCTGGTCATCAGCAGATTATTAAGCTGCTTATCAGCAGAAGCTAGATAAGTTGCAGCTGCCCCAAACAGACCCTTAGTGTTTTAATAAATTCTCAACGGATAACCAAGGATAAGGTGACGGCGTGTGCCATCAACCTATTTAATACAATGATA